CTGCTGAGCTCACAGTTTAATTAGGAAGGCAGCTGTGCCTGTACAAACCCACGCTCGGGCTTTTCCCTTGTTGTACGTATTCCTTCTTTTTTTCCACGTTCTTGGTTAGATAAGCATCCCCGCAGAGGGACAGGAAGTTGGCATTTGGTCTCAAATTTCAAAAGTTACCTCTTAAAGGTCAGAATATCTTGTCCTCCCAGCCTAATCCCTACCCTGCAGCGTTTCTCACTAAAACCCACTGCCAAACCCGAGGCCTGCAAAGACAGCACGAACGGGTTAGTCCTCCAAGCGTCTCCTGTAAACTGTTCTCCGAGTTCTGCGTAATTCGGAAGGACAGAAATCACGTAGCTGGCTGCACATGGCGCCCAGTGGAGCCTCTCCCCGGATCCCTGCTGGGCAGGTCCCACGCAGAGCTAACAGCCGCCTGCCCTGTGCCTGCGCTGGCTGCTCCGATGGCTGCGCTGCTGCCTGGGCACCTGGGGACAGCTCAAGGCGCTGTCGTGCTGCATTAATGGACAGGTGGGTTTAGCCAGCTGGGCACTGCCCCAGCGTTGCCTCTGCTCTAATTAGACCAGTGATTCTATTCCCCTCGCATACTTCTTTCCCCTTAATTCCCCGTTCTTTTGTTTTGTAAATATTACTATCTTTGGTGCAGCTCATGGCTTCAAGATTAACCGATGGTGTGTGAGCAGAGTGTACAAATGAGTGATCTGGTGTTTTTAAAGCTTGTTTTTTCTTCTCGTGAGCTGAGTCAGATCAGAGTCCTTATTCAGCATTGCAGAACTGTCCAATATCTTTTTCTCCATCTGTTTATTTTGCTTACAGTCAGTCTGTCTATGCCTTGCTTTTTTAGATAACCGATGTGCTGACTGCTGTTGCCCTTTACTTGGCCATTCAGGACTTCAACAAAGTTGTGGTAAGTGTTGCTGATCCTCTTCTCCCAGCAAGTATAAATATCTTGTACCAAACAGAACACATGCCAGAGGATGCAGTATCAGACAGTCCTTGTTGCAGTAAATCTGATCATATCAGTAAACACGGGACTGAATGTGGTAAGCAGCAGAGGTATTTTAAGTTTTGTCCTGGCAGTATTTACAAGTATGAAACAAATTAGTGTCCGTAGCTACCACGCTGCCCTTGAATGATGATCACAGCAGTGTAGATTCTTTAATCCAAAAGGAGTATAAAGAATTGGGGAAATTTGTGAGAATGCAGTAACCAAGGAAATGCAGACAAGTCTAGGGTCATGGTGCACAAGATGGAATGTGAGATTTTAAAACGTGTACTGAAAACCTGCCTTCGGTTGTTGTGGCACTTTGCAGTATGCAGAATTGAATTACTGGTCTATGGGTTTGGCAAGACTTTCGGCAGGACTTGAGCACTCCCTTTTCTCACCTCTGCTTCTGCTACAGTCTTCTGTACATTTGGTACCTAGGGCCTGGAATGTTTTACCCCGAACATGGTTTGTGTTTGCACACAGCATGAGTTAATACACAGACTGGAAATGTGTGAAGGAAGGAATAAACCTTCCAAGGATGCTGAGGTGACATAAGTCATTCTACTGAGCAAGGTGAAAGTCTGACACCGAATGTTACTTGTTCCCTTCAAATTATAAGTACATGTATTTCGAGGAGAGCAATTCCTCCCAGCTCTCTCTCATAAGTAGCTCAAAGAACATTTTGTGTAAGCAATGCTGTGCTCTCTGCGATCCTGGAGGGGCAGCGATTCCGTATCAACACGAACAGGGAAGCTGCATTTTCTACAGCATCTGTGTGGTCTCCCATCCAGCTACATAGTGGCTCCTTGTCCTCTGACTTTGAGGTTGAAGAAATGACTCATGAGAGAACTGCGTGTAAAAATCCTGCGTGTGAGTTACTTTGCTCACTGAGAATTTATTGCCAGTATCTCTCTCCTTCTGTCTCACCATGCCATAGTTCAGTAGGCTCATAATTCACATTTCTCTTTTGTCTCCATAGGGAGCATCATAGAACAAGATAGATTAGAGAGAGGGATCTTGGGTCCCCAAAGGAGATTTGGCATAGAGGTATCCATCTTCAAAGTAACAAAGACCGCATACTTCTGTCACTTGGTTTCTTAGGGGCTTGTATGTTGAACAGTAAAGTCAACTTTTCATTGGAGATCCAGACAAGCTTTAGGAAGATCGAAAGTATTAAACTCTAGTGCAGTGAATTTACTGTCAGCTGTGTCAAGAGTTAGACACAGGTAATTAAGAACGTTCAAATAAGTAGAGATTATCTGCTTTCTCATGACTTGCCCTTCAGTTGTTAAGTATTTGGGAAAAGAGAGGGGGGTTTCATTCTGTTTGTACAAGACCTCACATAATAGGAATTTTGGCTCACGCCTGGGGCTCATATCTACTGTTTGACAGTAATGGAAATCCTGAGTAATAAGAAATAATGACTTTCCTCATCTGACAGTCTTTGGTCATTCTCCCTTGTTCAGTTCAAAAAGCAAAAGCTCCTAATAGAACTGGATAAGTATGCACCAGATGTGGCTGAACTCATCCGGACGCCCATGGAAATGCACTACATCCCCCTCAAGGTAGCACTATTGTAAGTATTGCTTCTTGTAGGCTGCTTTGGTTCCTCAGCTCCCTTTGGGCTTTATTTGTCTGATTTGGGACTTCAACATTTGTTGAAGATTCCCCCCCCACCCCCCAAATTCTGATTTTTCTATTATACGTAAAAATCCCTCCAGCTCTGAATACTCGGCTTGAAAGTGAAAAGCAGATGCTTTTCCAAATGTGTGTTGCCAACAAGGAAATCCACTCAGGCCCTCTAAGACAGGCTCAACAGCATCATTAATTTGGTAGCAACAATGTTGTGTCTGCACAGATCACATTCCCATTTATTTTGCCTGTACGCTAATGTCATCAAAACTGATTTTATGCCTCCCAAATGTCTCATGTGTCTTTTCAGAAAAGTTAGGAGAATTTTTGAGCAGTTGAACAAAATGTTTGCTGAATATCACAACTTGGATATCCCAGAATTGCTTATAATAATTCAAAGATATTTTCAGGTTGTCATGTCTTGGTGTTCCTCTGTATACTAAACATTATTTTTTATTTCAGAAAGCTTCAACTAAAATAAATAATATACAAGCAAGGTAGTTAATGTCAAAGAATTATATTTTTTATTGGGTTTTTGACGTGAATAAATTATTACCTGAATTATTCTGTGTCAGAGATGGTTTTCCATTAGATAAGTTGTTATTTTTTTTCTTATTTTTGTATGAATTTTGTAAAATGGTAAATTCCCCAGGGCGAGAAAGGTAGTCTGTAAATTGCAGACTGTTTTGTATTTAACGTTGTTGCACATTACCATAGCAAAGTTGGCATTAAGTTGTACCTACTCTGCTGTAGGCTGTGTCGCTGGAAACACAGAAAAAAGCCAGACTGGAAATGTAGGAAAAATGTTTCCGTAAAGAGATAATTAGGAAATCATCAGCCCTGTCTACTCACTCTCATGATTGATTCAGTTATTAGCAAGGCTGGTCGATACATTATCTCACTTACTGTATTGGTAATCCTTCCAAACATTTTCCTGTGCTTTTGAGGTTATTGTAAGTCTCATTTCCAAAAGGAGCTGGCATCCTTACTAACTAAAGTGTGGCTGCATTCTGGAAGGTAAAGGTGTTCAGTGTTTGCTGTCTTTCCATAATTCCAATTAAAATATGCCAGATTTTCATAGCTGGCAGGTTTTGTGGTGAACATAAATGATTGCTCTGCCGTAGCGGGAGTGTGCAGGTGCAGTTGGGTGGGGGGAACTCTGCAATGTCTCAGGATTTGTTTCCATCTTGCTATCTCTTATTTTTATTACTTTCTCAGAGTCAGTAGGTGAGAGTAACAGAAAGAGTTTACTTTGGACCAAATATTCCTAGGTCTGACTGAATAAATGCACAATGTTTCTGCAAAGCAAGGAACATTTTTGGTAGTCATTTTCTAGGATAGGACTTGCATTTTAGACATTTCCCAATCGTCTCCGTTTGCTCCCTGTGGCCGCTGTGGCCAAGGCTACAATCCAAGGATCTGGTTTTTGCTCCAGACTAAAGAACCTGTTCAGTTGAATTAATCTGATGATGAGAGGATCCCATCAAATGTAAATAAACAAAAAGAAATGGCAAATTGTATCTGTTTTTCCTTTAAATATCTCTTTTATTAGATGGTGTCTCCTTTGAATGGCATGAATGTAACTCGAGCTTTGCTCTTTTTCAGCTATCTGTTAAACCCCTACACGGTGATGTCTTGCGTGGCAAAGTCCACCTGTGCCATCAACAATACTGTCATTGCATTCTTCATTTTAGCTACAATAAAAGGTAATGCAATGAAGAAAAAATGGTTCATTATGTCTTTCTATAAGGATTAGAAAACATAATGCTCTGCTGCTCTCTCTTTTGTACATGAATATGCACTTAAAGTGTTGTATGCAATTTATTTTCGAAGTGTATCTTTGAACTTTTATTCAAAAGCAAGCAGTTGCCTGCAGCTCTTATTTAGCTTTCACTCACAGTTGTAATCTTTGTTTGAAATTAGTTAATTGAGCTTTGGGGAAGCAGAAACAGTAACCAAAGACCCATACCAGCACAGCTGAATAGATTATGACAGAAGAACTGTTTCATTCATTTTGTGCATAATGCCAGGTTTCTGTTTCTTTTATGACTCCCCAGTGCTAAAGTCTTTTAGCATATGTAATTTGTGCTGGTCACATAAATTTTAGGAGTTCTGTGCTGGATCAGAGGAAACATCAGTCTGATCTCTTGTCTCCAGCAGAGCCCAGACCCAGACACTGCGAAGAAAGCCGATACAGATTGGTTTTATTAGTGTTTCCAAAAGAACGTTTTCCTCCAGTTACTGCCTAATGAGGCAGGAGGGGTTTTGATTTAAAAGCGTTTGCAAAAGCAAATGAGTAGGGTCCGTTTAGTTAAACTGATTTTTAACTGTTCACTGATACCATCAGATGAATAGTTCAGTCACAGACAAAACTGTAGTGGCTGTCCCCTGTGTTTTCTCCCTGATCAGGAGTGTGGCAGCCTCTAGGTTTTAAAGTGGGCAAAGAGATGTTGTCAGATTATGACTGTGATTTCTGGGCACCAATTCTTTAGATCTGTGCAGAAGGGTAGGGAGGTTTCTGTCTAGGAGAGAGTAGCTGGAGAATGGAGAAGGCTCATCGCCAGGTAACCCTGTATTTTCTCTGTCAAGAGGTGGAAGCAGAGAGGAGCTTACCGGGTGTTTGATGTCAGTAGGCTCACAATTAGTCCAATGCCCCGAGTCAGGATTCTTGCTGTCTAAGCTGTATTTTTACAGATGACTTCCACCAAGTGGCATAAGACTGAAAGCTATGACCAGGCTACTGCACTGGGTACTTGTATTTTTATTGTTTAATCTGGGACCTTTTGGACTTGATTTCTGGTATTGGTAGCTGGGCAATGTGAATGCTCAGCACTTGGCTCAACCTGAGACACCTCAAATAAAGCTTCCTCAATAAAGGCATTCGTATTTTTAAGACCACTTGGAAAAGCTGTGCTAAGCCTTTCTATGCCTCAGTTTTGGTATCTGTAAAGTAAGGCTAATGCTGCTTCATTCCTCAGCTGCAGACTGTCGCTTGCTCTCTTTCCCAGAGCTTTGCTGAGGGCCCTGACACGTTCTGGTGACGAGGTTATTCAGCATGCCCCGTATAACGGCTGTTTCACGAGGATATGACTTAGGTGAACGCATTCCCTTGCATAGACAGCAGGCGGCATGGTCTATATATAGACTGAATTACATGAATCTCTTTCTGTATGTGAATGATAGGAGATATAAACCAGTCAGCTGTTCTTTCGTGTGGGAGAATCACCTTGGTATGAGTCATTCTCTGTTCAAAATGTAGTTAAGAAAAGGACACTCTCCAGACACATTCTGCTAAAAACGCCTTTAAGTGGTGTTCTGATATTTATAAGGCCCTGCAGAGGGTTATGCATTTCTTCCCATTTGGACTTCCTGTCTGTAAGGCTGCTTATATTAAATGTTCCTTACAAATGAACATATTCTTTTTCTTTGCAGGTAGTGCCTTCCTCAGTGCTGTGTTCCTGGCCTTAGCAACGTACCAGTCACTCTACCCTCTCACATTGTTTGCTCCAGCACTCCTTTACCTTTTGCAGGTAAGGTGATTTCTGACTGTTGGTACCTGTGGTCTTGCAGCTGTGCAGGGACAGCCCTTAGCTATTGAGAGAGGAGTCGGGCAAGTCCTGAGTTTCAGAAAAAGTGACTCCTCAAGCCATGGGAAGTTTGAAGCTTTAATGGGGATGCCTGTGCACAGAGAGAAGGGAGCAGAAAATCGTCTACAGAACTGGCTGGTGTTCAGCTTGCCTGAAATAAGTGCAGTTCTTTGTGTCGTGTGAATAGCAATGAGGATTTTAGACTTGGAGAGGAGGAATGAGGAGCTGTGTGTTTGAATCACTTGAACTCAGAAATGCTGGTTTGGAGTTTAATGGCAAAAGGCATGAGCTTGTGAAAGCGGCTGGTTGCCCTTGTCCTTTCTCCCTCCCCATTAACAGGACCCCTGAATTCCAGCAGGGCTGACCTTGATCATTCACGGGTACGCAGTGCCTCGACAGACGCTGCTCCAGGCAAGATTAGCCCAGCAGGAGGGTGGCAGGCACATCTGCAGGCAGGGGTAGGGTTTAAAGCTGAGGCAGCTCTTTGCTAGTGAGTGGATTCATCGCTGCTTTGCCTGCGTGCTTCCCCCTGGTCTGGCTCTTGGCTCTTGTGCTGATACTGTAAACATAACCGAGAGTCCAAATTATAATGCACTTAATGAAAACTGGTCATTTGCTGGTCTTATTCTGATACGGGAGCAAGGTGAGGCTGTGACCGTTAGCAGAGGACTCTTATACCAGTTCACAGATCACTTGGTGATCGTTTTCATTATTTTTGCCATTCTGAAAGTCCTGCTGTTGAGTGTTTCACCAGTCTTTCTTGGTTGCTTCTGTCTTGTCTCCCTCATGATTTTATAGCTAATCTTAACTACAGGTTCATTATAGCCTATTCTCAAACCTCTGAGCTTCAAAACAGAAGGGAGAATCAGTTCTCTTCCATTTTCATTCCCTGACTATCTGACATGAATGTCTCTTAACTTTTTTTCAGAAATTTTATTATTATTATTACTCTTTGCAAGACAAGAACTTCTGCAGAGTCAGTGTTGCTTGTTCAGTTTAATCATTTTTAGGAGCATTTACTTTATATATTATATATTTTTCTTGCCTCATTTGTTCACTTTTAACTTCAGTCAAAGTAAAGTGGCAGTAAAGTACAAACATTGTGTTTACAAGCAACAACAAGTGCTTTGATACGTGAATGCCTAATTTGCAACTTTTAAAGGGATCATGCTAGTGTGTGTGTTCTTTTATCCAGATTTGTAAATGAACTGTCCTGCACTCTTTGTACAGAATTAAATAGCTTTTTCTCCAGCAGTTTCCAATCTGTCCTGCCAAAAATCCTTGGTAAACTTGCTTACATTATTAGGGTAGCTGTGAGGAGGTGTGTGTAAATCTTACACTGAGTGCGTGAGACTTGACTTAACTGCAAGCAGAAATGACCAGCTCAGCTTCTGTATTTTCAAGCACAGTTCTGGAAATACGTGCAATGTGTATGACTTAATTGGCCAGAGTGAAGAACATCAAGCAAACTGTGCTTGAGCGCTGCCCTTTCCCGTGCCATAGTGCCAGTGTTTGATGCTTTCTTTCATCGATTTAAAATTATGTACTGAACACTCAGGCTTTCTTGTGGCTTTCGACCTGATGAGGGATATCTGCCTGCTTGTATTTCATTTTCAGCGTCAGTTCATACCAATAAAACTGAAAAGTAAAAGCTTCTGGCTCTACACCATGCAGTATGCAGCCCTGTACCTGTGCAGCCTGGTGGTGATCATCTGCCTCTCCTTCTTCCTCCTCAACTCCTGGGATTTTATCCCATCTGTTTACGGGTTTATGTAAGTATAAGCATTCCTACTGTTTTTTCTGTCTAGCTCCCGCTATGTTGTTTCTTGTGTATCACACACAGGTGCCCCACTCCCTGTCCTAAGGAGTGTGTGATCTCTGATTTT